ATTCAAATTTCCGATACATAATCTCGCGTACTGGAGAGAAAAAATGTTTTTTTTCCGTACAATGTTGTCATTGCTCGCTTTGAAATCACTGAGTTTGTTAATCAAAAATTCGTTAAAGTGTTACAAAATATGAAATCGATAATAAAACAAATTCCAAAATTCGGGCTTCTAGATGCTCATATTCAGTGGAAGATTACATTATTCAAAATTTGACGGCTCTAGGTACCGTTGTTTTATCACAATGCGAGAAACATACATACATTTATGCAGATTCTTCATTATTTAATTTATTTAAATAAACACAGGGTTCTAATAATTGGTGGCAACAATTTGAAAAGTAAACCCACATTTATTGTGAATCAACGCAAAATGCCAAATCGAAATTAATAACCCTTGTGGGTTAACGTTCTTTGGGTTAAAAAAAGAAGCTGAATATAAGCTGAAATGTAAACGTTACCTGAAAATATTCTTTATTTTCAGGCCATTTATTTGTTTGCAGCTTTTTGCTTCGAAAAAATAACGGGTAATTCTAATTTTAATGAGGTACCCAAAAACCTTCTTAGGATTTAAAATTACCATGTCCAATATAATTACAGGAAGCAAAAAATAGAAAATAAAAATGTGTCCTCCAGAAGCAAGCTTACTGAAGAGATATTCTAGATTATAAATTCCTGTAATATTAAAATATCCTATTTTTTATAAAGAAATAATTTTACAGCTCCATTTTCAAGTGTTTGTAAGTTATGAAGTTTATAGACCAGATATATAATTATATGGAGATAGAAATACGAGAATGAAGTCAAAAAAGAATAGCTTCTAATGAATATGGAGGACTTAAGAAATTTCTTTGCCCAAAATGTTTGCACTGTATCAGAGTTTCGTATATCCTGAAAGATGACCATAATAATAATGGCCTTGTGCTTTATAAGTGAAAAATCTTCAAGGATTATTTTATTATTCGAGTCTACTTTGAATCTGTATTGCAATAACCAATCAAAATGCTAAACACCAGTTATACTCTAGTAGGCATAAAAGATGAAAAATTTAAAACCCAGCAAAGTTTAGCCTAAAATTCTTGAGAAATGCTAAAATAAAGCTATCATATTTTGTGAATTGTTTCACCAAAACATTCTTAACCGTAAATTTCCTTCATAGTAAATTGGTAATGAAGAATTTAAAAAAAAATGCCCTACTAAATTAGGAGTTTTTTTATACTTATGATCACGCATAGTATAGTAGCATTTTCGGATTTTTTAACTGATCATGGTCCAGTTAGTTTTCAATGTTCCCAAATTGATTCGTTATTAATTAATCAATTAAATTTTTACTTCAATTATTTACTTCCGGAATGATAACTGAAGTATTTATAGGAAAAGTATATATGACATTTTAACTACAACAAGCTACATTTATAGTTGTATTTCTGATCGGCATTAATTAGTTTCATAAATAGAAAGGGGAAAATAAAAGTTAAAGGCAGTCTCTATGCAGTCATCAATTAGACGCGTAGAACTAACTATGTGTAAAACTAAATGATAAAATTAACGTTGATAGATTCAGGTAATTTGAATGCGGCAACCTGCTTAAGAAAAGACGCCTTCGTGGAGGATTATCTGAGGAAAACAAGCTCAAAATTATATTGACGTAAGGAAAACGATGAGAAAACCACATAAAGCCAGCCCGTTTGCCTGTATCCTGATACGGGTTGAACTACTATTTTTCAGCAGTTCACTGAGAATACTTAGCTTTGATAACTTTTGGGATTTTGCTTTAATTTTAGATATCAGGTTTAATTCATGTTATCAGCTTCATTTTCTTTATTCAATTATAGCTGACTGTCTTTATCTTAGGAAGCCTTGAGTTAATGCTCCATTAGAAGGAAACGTTTTTGTTACTTGATATTTAATTCAGTTTGACTAAATATCAAGTAACAAAAACGGATCTAAATATTTTCTTCCTGAACTTCCACATGGTATATATTTGAAATTAACGAAATCTTTGTTCGGTGCCATTACGTAACAAAACAAATACCTAAATTACATGAAGGATATCAACCTAAGGAAAATAATGTTAATTGCTCTATTAAAGTTTCTAATTCTATTATTTGTTGGAGCACATTTTATTTAATTTAAGGACTGTATGAACATAATTTTCGAGTAATAGAGTTTCTTTTACAAAGAAATAATTCTTAGCTTTAAGGAAAGTCGGGTCGTAATTCGGGCAGTATTTCTTCTCAAAGTAAGCTCTCCAATAGCGTAAACGTGTCACTTATGTGGCGTGATCGTTAGCGCTGACTAGGCTTTTTAATGGCCCTTTTGTTGGCGAGTAACAGGAGGCAATGTTGCCTCCCTAACCATTGTGTTTAAATAGGGGTTCTCTCTGCTTCGTGAGATGCTGTAATCAATATTTCCTTCTCAGAAGTATCTGGTGCGACTTAATGCGACATCTTTGTTTTTGCTCAAGAACCAAGAAAGTAGAAGAATGTGTTTAAAACATCTAAGAAACTATACTTTTTCACTTTAAAAATCAGCTTATATTTTCCAAGAAGTTTGTTTTTGCTTTAAATTTTCATCCCATCTGTTAGAAGAATATTTTTGCCCAAACCATCAAGCTTATTTTTTAGCTAATGGAATATTTTAATATATAATACAAACATGAAACAAGAAATTACTACAAAGTGCATGCCACAATAATACTCTAGTGCATAAGGTTGACATTACTAGCAAAAGAGCTATTTACGATCTTGTAAACCTACACAAAATTGGAATAAAAGGGTAAATCAGAAAGCAGTTCACTACGAATAAAATCACTTCTGAGTTTCTTCCGAAATTTCAAAAGCGCAGACAAATGCGGATGTTTAGTTATAGAAAATCCTTTGCAGATTTCATCTACAAAGAGCTTAGGCCATGATCTTTTATAATTATTTACATACTTCAGTTAATTCAAATAAAAATGGCAATTTATGTTTGAATCTCTTCGGAGTCAAAAGTACCTTTTATATATTCCTTAGCTAAATAAATTAAATATCTAAAAACATATCTTATCTAATATGTTTCAGCTGAAAGCGAAAGTATGTTTATCAGCTAACAAAGCATCGGGATTTGGCATTTTAAAATCATAGAACTATAATTACTCAGTTAGTCTTCAAAGTAAGAAGTGCTTGGTGAGAGTACATTAATATCCCATTAAAATAAGCAAAGAATGATATGCTTCTTTCTCAAACTCTGAGAAAGTTTACATATTTGCATGTTAAGTTTGTAAAGATTTAAAGTTACTTCATCTGCGTCTTCTGATGCAGTGGTTAGTATGCCAGTCCTGTATACATGGGGACAAAAGCATGGTTTTTGATCTCAGAGAGAGAATATCGTTTGCTTCACCTAAAGCAAATAATCTAATCTAACACTATCTTCCAAAATACTAATTTACCTTAAAAGTTTGTCAACTAAAAAGAGGAAAGATGAGGCCTGCATACTCTTGGCAGCCGTTTTTCACCTGTCAGCATTAGTTCGATGATTTTAAGACGAATTCCAGATTAAAACTATTTAGATATTTATTAATTCACGTAAATGGAAAAGCAAGCGTTTCTTTGCTTTCTGCAAACAAAAACAAGTGCATGAAAATTATCAATGTAATATAAGCTACTTCAGATGGCAACACGTGTAAGAACACAATGACGAAAATTTAGATTTTGATTCCCAGAAAATTTATACGAATATTTGTTCAAATGAATAAATAAATATTCAAATGAATAAATATGACTTTAAATTATACACTCTGTAAGAAATAAAATGTTTTGTTATGCTCTTGTAGAGCAAAACACTTTTGAAAACTGAACATTCGGAAGAAAACATAAGCAATAAAACCTGTAGTATTTGCCAACGTGATGAATAAAACGATGATTGGCCTTGCCTTTCATCATAAATTCACTGTACCATTCAAGTGATTTTTGACATTATAGGGAAACGTTATTAGAACGGACTAAGAAAATGCATTAGAATATGATGTTTGTGGAGGTGCATAAATCTTATTTTGAAATAAGTAAAAATTAAATATTGGCATTTTCAGCTAACAAAATTGTAGCATGAACGCAGTTATTGGTTATGAATTAGAATGTATTCGAAAATAATTTAAACGGGAACACTGAATTAGGATGGCATTGACATACTTTCAAACATAGACTTATGTGCAAGGATTAAATGTAAAATATTAAAACACATCTTATAATGTATTCATAAGAGATCGGAAAACAACCATTGATCTACTGCAATCCTTCTCTGTTCGTCTCTGGTTCCCAAGTTGCAAGAGGTGGCTCATTTGGAGTATTCTCACAATGTGTCGTGAATACATGCTAGTTTTTCTCAGAAAAATTATCTAAGAAATGACCTTTTTATGAATGAAATGACATAGTTTTTTTAACTAATGACAGATTGTAAAAAGCCTATTAAGCTAAAAGGAGCATAATCAGTATATATCAAATATAAAAATGATCAAATGTAAAAATGATCAAATGAATAAAAGGCATCGAGTTAAAACAGTGAATTAAGAATACTCAGCAGAAATAATGTGAAATTTGGAACAAATGAAATAATTCATAACATAGTGAATGTAAATTAATAGAATTTTGATTTACATGTAAACAATTAACAGGGATAATATTAAATGTTTAAATAAAAAAGTAAAAGTAGAAATATGCAGAAAAATATATGTTTATAATAGTTAAAAAGGAGAAGGGTAGGTATAATAAAGCAATGGTGTAAATAATAAAGCAAATAAAATGATCATAATTTTCATGCAAATGAAATTAACAATTAAAACAGAAAATTACATGACTTAAGTAAAAAAATATTAAACAAATACTTTGTAAACTAAAAGATATGAAGGTTAAAATGCGAAATACGTTAAGACTTGCGGTTAAAATTAAAAAAATTATTAATAAAATAAATAAATTTTACCGTTTAGATCTTGCGATAAAATGACAGGATAAGTTCAGATGTGGAGGTAGCAAATTCAAAAATGGCGGAAATTATTGAGCTATATATTTGAATAGGAATGGAAATTAAGAATTACAATTTGAATTCTAAGTATTTAAATCGTAATGCATAGAAAATTAGACGTTACAAAGTAAGCATAAAGAAAATAACTTAAATTTTTCATTTTTCCACTCTAGAACAACACGTTTTTATAGTTTTATACAGCAAGATATTTGCGACTGGTATTAGCCGTACATTCTTTTTTATGTCAATTCATGAGCAGACGCCAAAATAAAGACAGAAACACATTGAACAGATGTTGACCGGCACTCTGCCTATTGATTACTTTTAAATTAAATGTGCTGTTCTAATCTTTTACAATGGTGTTCTTGATTTCAAAGCAAATAGTGTTAGAAAGTTTTAAAGAGCGTAATTAATATATTTTAGTTCGTAGTGAATACGTTATTGAATTAACTAACCTAAGAGACAAATGTTTTACGTTTAGAAATAAGTTAACATAATCTTAATGACAGAAAATGCCCAACTCAAAAATTCTCCAATATTTCTGCAAATCCTTCAAACAAAAATTAAAACACAGGGAAAAATAAATTCATAAAACAAAAAATAATTCATAGGAAAATATAGCAAAAATATTCATTAATAAAGCGATCAAGAAAATTACATTTAATTAACATAAAAAGCAAAGACATTGGGTTCTCAATCATCAACACCTAATCTCATATCCCTTCTTTGAAACTTTCTTGCCCAGATCATACCTTCAGCATTCTTGCCTTAACCAACTTCTTCCTACTCACCTTATCAGTCAGCTGGCTACCTGCTCTCCCACCTGATGATAACTTAGGTATTTTTGTGCATTACGATCCCAGACATAGTATCGGCTGCTACCTATTACATATGATGATTTAGTGTCGCTAATATTTAAGGAAATATCTTCAAATACCATAACAAACTTTATATTAACAGCAAATAAACAATAACGAAATAATTTTAAAGCTACATTATTTTTCCTTCTCAGTCTTTCACATCTTACACGCTTAACATCTTGCCTGACTCTCAGACTGACTATCTGAGCATAAGTGGGATGGGAAAAATGTAAGACCACATAATTGTATTGATTGTCAGGTTCTAAAGAAGAGCCAATCTTTTCAAAATTCTCCAGGCTATATATGTGGCTGGGTGATTTTTCAGCGTCATTCTGAATCGGTTCACTTTGAAGGCAGTAATTTTTCCACTATGATTTTATGCCCTACAGCAGTGTTTCTCAGCCTGCGGCTCACGTAACCCCAGAGGCACATTAAATATTCTCCGGGGGTACGCGGGGAAAAAAAAAAGAAAGATGTGATGGTGGTCATTGATGGATTGATTTAGCATAAGAGAAAGATAAAAAGCTGTTGTGAAAAACTGCATTTCTAACCCAAATTATATTTCATTATGAAACCTCAAAGTAAGTAATATAAATCCGAAATAATTTTTATTTAAAATGCTATTAATGTTTCAAATTAAGTTTTAAGCATATACATTTTATCTGCAGGACCAGCACCTGACAACAGGGATAGAAGCATCGGTCCACACACAGTAGAAAAGTATATTTCATTAAGCTTCACAAAAAGCGGGCATATTGTTTCCTGTAATAAAATTTTATTTCGGCCAGCAGTCTGGGAAAATACAACATCTGAATAGACAGCAGGCGAAACATAGTTTCCCAAGAGTGAAACAACTGACCACTGGATAGGGTTCCCTTTCAGTGAAAAGTATTTCCAGTGTGCATCTCTGTCAATCCGAGAGATAGTTAAGTTGATTGAACTAAAAATAATTCTTCAGTTAAGGTAGAGTTTGAAAAGAAATCCATCATCTCATTCTGGACAGACTTGAAAGAAAAATATCCTGAATTATTCAACAAGGCAATCACTATTCTGTTACCATTTACAATCACCGTATTAGTGGGAAGAGCTTTCTCGTCCTATACTTACTTAAAAAATAAGTACAGGAATAGATTTTCCAGCTTACGTTCAAACGTGAGACTGTACTTTTCATCTTCTGATCCGGATTTTAAATTACCAAATGATGCCAAACAGCCTCAAGATTTCCATTAAATGTGCTTATACATATGTATTACACAAATAACTAAATTTATTAACTAAATTTATAACTAAATTTAATAATTAAGCATTACATATTAAACTAAATTTAAATATATATATATATTATTCCAGAAGTTAACAGTTTCATAAAGAACTGAGGAATGTAAATTAAAAATTTTGATTCCTTTAAAAAGCAAATTTAACTATTAATTGCGGCCATCGATATCAGAACGCAGTTCAAAAATAAAGATAAGTGTCTGTGGTTAATTGAAAAGGGAAAAGCAACGAAGAGAATGGAGAGAGACTGAGAATTCTATAGCTTGTTCGCATGGGCAAGATAATAAAACAATATGAAAGAAAACATTTCTCCAGCAGGAACTCAGAAAAAGAAAATTTGGGTAAGAAGCAGTTTTAGTAATATGCCACCTAGCCTTGAATGTCTTCACTTGGGAAATATTTGGCCACATAATGTAATCTGATAAAACTAAGGAATGACTGTAGTCTATGCACAAAATTCCTATCTCATGTGACTAAGAAAACGTTCCTACTATGAAATCTTAAAAGTGTTTTTTTCTTTTAAAATTCTGAAAGTTGAATTAAAGACTAAAAGATTATTGCAAGATAAACAAAACAATCCTGTTTAAGATAAGACAGCTCTTTAAATATTTTTTCTGCTTAAAAAAATTGATGATGATAATTAAGTTATTCTTTTTAAAAATAAGAAATTATACTGTAATCTATAAGAGGCCTTTGTTTCTAAATTCTAATTCTTACATTTTAAATTCTTTCCTGTGGAAATCAGTAATTATCGAAATTTGGATGATAAAATTTTCAGTATTCTACGTCTTTCTCACTTTCAGGGCATTGCAATGGTAATAAGTAAAATACTTCTCATATGTACAAAAATGTTATCATATTACGTCTCTGAGTTTCTCTTCTGCTAACTAACACAAAATATTAGTTTTGAATCTTTCTGTCCACTACGTTTGCTCTAATTATTAAACTTTTAATTGAAGATGCACATTAGAATGCAAAAGTTTGAAAATCTTTCGCTTCCGAAAACATAAAAGTTATTTATTCCTTTGACTGTCATTATTTAATTATATTTGGAGGAAGCGGTATTTGGTGCGATCAGAAATGACGCTGAGGGTCGATCTACTCCACACTAGCTAAATATTTGGCTTTTCGCACCAGCATTCTCATTCCAGCGGGGGGAGGTGATGATGACCATGAGATATTGATGTGGGGAACAATGGATGACTCGGGGCCCCAAATTTTCCGATAAACCGTAATGACTTCAGCTCGTGACTCAGAGGTGTGTTTAGCCAGTGGAAGTTCGGGATCTGATTGGAATCACTCGAACGGCCTGTTCCTAAGGTATGGGGGAAAACCATTCGACCATGGCCAAAACCTTTGCTTCTTAGTCAGCAGATACGTAGCGAAATATTCACTTTAAATGTATATCTCGAATTTGTAACTGTTACAAAAGTCTATACTAAAGTGAAATAAACGAAGGATTAAACGAATAATTTATAAATTATTTAACTGCGTGGCTCCAGCTCACGCTCTTAAACTTTGTACTAATATTTTTATTACAACCTATATTTTCAGTTTTATTTTGCTTGTTTTATATACCTTGTTGAAAGCCGAAGACTGGGCCTAACTGTATGCTAAACCTTTATATATATATATAAGTGTGTATATATATTTGCATATCTAGATTATAAAATCCTTGGCCTGGAATAATTCAGGTGGACAAACTCCGTTTCTGTGCTTCAATAAACCACATTCTCTGCAAAATAGACTGCCAGCTTTTCTGAACGTTTGTACACATCATTATCTGAATAATTATATGTAATGAATATGCAAGTCGATTGTATATTTTTCACGCACAGTCAGTTCGCATCCGAAATAAAACTCCCAATTGTTAGAGATTCCCTCTCATTTCTGGAATATACAAACCTCAATGCGTATTCCAGTGGAAAGGAGAAACATGCTTCCTGAATAAGTATCCAGTATTAATTCAGCAAGAACCACCTTCTGCGATGAAATTTATTTGACGCCAAATACTTAGTGGCCATCCTTTAGTTTCCTATGTTTGTCGTCCTCAGAAAAATAATTTCAAGAAATTTATTCAATGATTATAAGTAAAATTATAAGTACTTCACGATGTTACAATTATTATAGATGGTTTTATTATGACTATCAAATCTTGCACGAGGAAAAGCAGAATGTCATATAGTAACATCAGATATCATAAGTGAATATACTGCAATATTTGTAGCATGGAGTACATAATATACGCTACATATAAACAAAAGAAGATACGAGTATTTCAATAAAGACTATAATTCGTGCTGCCATTGTATGCAGAGTCTGTCATAAGCAAAAAATTTTAAAGGCCTGTTTCATGACCCCTGTGAAGTTCTGGTATTTACTATTCTGATATTTCCTTAAGACGCTCTACGTGATTAACACTACTTGTATTTAGAATTCGAAGATTCTAGCGCAAAAGATGGGTTATCCATGGTGTTTATCCATGAAGAAGATGCAAAAAATATCAACATATTACTTTAAATTTCTTTTAGCTAGCATTACCTTTAGCCAGTAAACTTTACATTCTGTCATGTAATCGTATGCAAACATCAAATGAGAATAAATTGCTCTTTCTGTAAAGAAATATGTTGATTCAAAGTAGACGTAGAACTCGAGTAACTTTCATCAGAGAAAGAGAATTAAATACGGTCCGCTGTGAGTTAATATACTGTGACACAATAAGAATTCACTTGAATTCTTTTTACTTACATTTACTTTTCTAGGTTGATATTCTTTATTTGTGTATTTAGAAGGTTTCAGTCCAATATTTTGCATGAAACGTCCAGAGAAAAATTTTAGGTAAATACGAAAAAAAAAAAAAAAAAAAAAAAAAAAAAAAAAAATAGAAACAAATATAGACTGTAAATATATGGAAAATTAGAATGCGCTATTTTACTATCAGAACAAGAAGTTTTCCTAAAAAAATAGGATTTAAATTTTAATTAAAATTCAGGCTACTAATGAATGATGGAAAATTCATGATAGTTATTGGTAGTTATAAAGCTTGTGAGTTAGTTTAAGAAAAGAGCGAAGTATTGCACCTTTTTCAAATACAGTTTCATACTTTCGTGTTAAAACGTGTTACAGAAATATTATTTTACTTGATAACATGTTGCGTAAGTTTTCGAGCTTTCTAAATCATGTATAATTGCGTTTTTATTGCAATTACCCATTTAAAACATAATCTGCTCTTATGCTGAGTATTTCACAAAAGAGTTTGAAGGGTATTTAATTATTTTTACCAGAGAAAATGATTATGCATAAAAGTTGCAATACATTGGCTGTACTTTTATCTCAGAATTTTTTCTCACATAGAGTGTATGATGTTTCTAACACATAATAATACATTAAGATTGGTTTGTATTACATACTCAAAAATAACTGTAATAAACTACAGTAAGTAATTTTACCAATCAGCAACAATGTACACAGTGCTTTAACAATCTACTCGGAATCATAATCATCATGGTGTAGGTGTAGGTGTATTTAATTATGGCAAAGCACACTAGGGCTATCTGCCTAAGAGGAGGGATGCCTTTGTGGAGGACTTTCTAAGGGAAACTGGCTCGTATACACGTTACACATGGGGAAAACCACGAAAAACACCCATGCAGCCAGCCCGTTCGCGGGATTCGAACCTCGGACCGAACTACCAGTGTTTAGCGACTTTACCGCTCGGCCGCTGGTGGGCCATAATCATCATGGAAGGATTAAATTACAAATTGCAAAACTTATAATTTTGGTTGTAATGAATTTAAATTTACACTACAATATATTGTTTATAATTGAAGAGAAACATTTTTATGTATTTGTAAAGCCAGAATTATTGAGTTTCTTGATGCAAAATTAAAAAATCAACTTTGCGAGCCTCGAACTGAAATCTTCCACTTGGAACCTAGATTCTGACCCTCCACGATAAAAACACGCCATAAAATATTTATGTAAATTTTTATTTTGTCAATAAAGTACTTATTTTTACTGCAATAATAATCAAATAACAACAATAATAAACCTTGCAATAATAAACCTTGCAACTGTCTTCTAAATAAGATTATACTATGGTTTAATCATAAAAGGAGAGCTTCTATTGGATAACCTGCTAAAATTTTCCTTTACTTGCATTGTTATTTCTCTATCTATTTATGTTTATATGAAATTCATCTGGAGCGGAAATTACACTTTTAAATTAATTTTAAAGGCCAAGGAATGCTTTGACATATCATAATCACTTGTAGTTTAACGTAGTTGAGGCTTTATCCTGCATGCAGAGTACGACATTTGTTGAGAAATACGTTTAAAATCATTTATATTCCATGCAACTGAAGTATCTTTTAAACTGTGGAGCGCGTCATGATAAAATGTTTCTAAAGAGTTAGCTGAAGGCACAAGAGAAGACATTTCCGGTAGTCATTCTTGCGATGATAATCCGACTGAAATCCCATTGTCTGTGACGAAGGAAAGAAAACCATTCGAAATAAGAAAGACGCTGACATTAATGAAAACTCACCACGAACCAGATAAGGCAATATTATTATTTCCTGTGTTCCAATTTAGGATGGAATTTAATTATCTACCACGAAGGTTTGTAATAGGAGGCTTTCTGAAAATAAACAATATGTCTTATGCCATTATAGCATTTGACATTTGGGCTAAGAACATTGTGATAGCGTGTATGTTTATTAAGGTCCCTAAAGACTTGTTTTATGATGTATAACTTTCTGAGATAAATAGACATATTTCATTGAGGAAGAAAACTTACAGCTTTAACAACGCTTATCATGAATTTACTTACAAAACCGCCAAAATACAAAAGATTACTTATTTGATATCTTAAAAGTATTTTAAACTTTTTCTAGTAAGCGATGTATCATCAATCTCAATTTATTTTTGCTCTTGAACGTTGCAATGCTTTTCTAGGGAAAACCACGATTCCTGACCCAAAGAGTGCTTTTAACTTATGAATAAGATATATCTAATATAACAGTTCTTTTTACGCTTAGGCAGTTCTTTAAAGAATGTCTCCGTACTCTCAGAATTCTGCTTTTTTAACAACTTTCATAGCTTGATCATAAGGCTCTGGATATAAATAGATCAGTTACAATTAAAATCATCATTCTTTATGCATTAAAAATATATTATATTGAATAAGTATCTTCAGAATGAATATATGAATTCATTATCTTCAACAATACTAACGGTGACTATTGCCTGAAGGACATCAGAATCACAAAAAAACATTAATTTCAGTAGTGTTATGCAAATTCTCACTTAAATACGCGCGTATAAGATAAACCACGAACTGCTTTGAATGTAGGTAGATCAGCTATAATTGTCATTCTTTCTGCATTGCAAATATGTTGAAAAGTTATTTAATATGCGGATTCATCTTCTTCAGCAACAATAACTGTAACTGTTGCCTGAAGGATATCAGAATCACAGAAAGTATTATTTCTATAGAGCCATCTTTACATTTAGGCATATGCTCATTTGAATACATGCATATGTATATAAGATTAACCCCAAGTATAGTAATTAATTTTCAGCACTTAAGATCATCTTGGTTTTTATTCCTAAATATTTACAAGCTTCAATGCTTAACTTGCAGAAGCAGATCTTATACAATGCTGAAAATATCACATCCTTCGCATTATTGTGCATACAATTAACTATTCTACCAGTACATTTTGTAGCATTAAATACCATTTTTCGATATCATACGTGTCTCAGAAAATGCTAATATTGCGTAATGATAATAATTTTGTTAAATAATTTGAATAAATTTAACATTTAAAAAATATTAAATACTTACTGCATATGTGCATTTTAGTTACTTAGATAGGGGATATTACCAGTGGTGGAATTCAAAAATATTAAGAACAGTTTTGTTGCCTAAAAAGCTTAAAATGAACTGCTAAGTAGTAATATATTTCCTAAATAAAATTTACAATTCAGTTTTAACGTTGAAGTAAAAAGATTTTTAAAATCGGTTTTGCTGAACCGATGCGAACCGGATGAAACCATCCACTGGTCATTATATGTCATCAATTACTATATAAAAGAATAACGGCTTGGATAATCAGATTGCTTCTCTTGTTGTTTTAGGACGTAATTTTTCAAAAAACCCAAACAGGTAAATAAAATTATTTTAAGCTTGGTTTCCAAATATTGTTGCCTGAACTATAGTAATACATAATGTTGGAATCAAATTTACTAAGAAAATTTGGAATATCTTGGAATTCTATTCCCAAAATGCAAGATTTTACGACTTTTCATGTTATCAGCAGTCTTGCTTATTTCTATATATTTTAAAATGCAATTATTGAACGCATACTACTTTAGAAACTCAAAGGCAGAACTTTTATTGTGTCTTATTTTAAATTATCACATTAATCAATTGCAAAATGTGTTATCTGTCATCTAAATGAGTGTAGAAATCTAGTTTCATAAAGTAAATTTATAAAAAATGCTATTTTTGAAGCTGATGTTTCTATAACGAAAGCAAATTAACTGACTTAAATTGGAGTCTGCTATGTTATCCTTCATATGCACCAACGTAATACGTATATGTTCTCAAGAATTGCTACCGAAATGCGCTAATTATTTTCCCAGAGACACAGTGCATTTTAATAACTTTATTAGCAACAAGTAAATCTTCCGTGCTTTTAAATAATATGAATTAAGAGACCATATCGAAATCAAGAGTACTATATACAATTCCAAAGTGCACGACATCATAAATTTAACTATGTATTTATCTGTGTATAATCAATTTTCATCCAAGTCTTTTCTGTCAGGAATGTTGATGAATTTCTAACGCGAATTTAGAGCTATCATTTCCAATGCCTTCTGTTCGAGATTTTTAACAGCGAAATTTGGCATTTTGGGATGCTTTTAATGATGTTTCATGATGCTCTCGAAATTTGTCAAACAATATTTGTATAAATTTCTGAAGAAACATATAAGTTAAAATCATCTCAGAATCCAAATTTTGTTAATAAAAACAGTCGACTCTGATATTATTTGCTGTGCTTGTAAGAAAATATTGACACACAACTTCCAAAACCACATTAGGATGCAAATAAATATAAAAATAAGCTGTTAAAGAGAAGAGTACATACCAAGCAGGATTTTATGCATCAGACTATTCCTGAAACAAAAATGTTATTGTTAACAGTATGCCATTTATTAATATTTCTGATGCATTACATTATTGGTACAATATCTCACAATTTTGTTAATGTGTAAAGGACTCATGTCCTTACTTTAAAATATGAAAAATATACAGTTCATTATTCGTCTTCTAGAAAGTGCAAATGCTCGTTTTGCATTTTGCCTTCAAAATTAGAAACAATAATTTCCAATTTTAAATTATTCAGATCAAGAAACAAGTGAACCAATTTCTTAAAAATCATATGACAAAAGCATACAATTGTACTACATTATGCTTATTAATTTAAACATAATATGCTCATAATCTGTCTTATAATAGGAAGATTAAGGAAACAGATTTAGCCGTATAGTTTCAAACTTTCTAATCAAAGAACATTAAAAAAGGCCCCAGTTTCAATATCGAAAATCCTTCATTTGGGGATATTGTGCTCACATGTTCAGCTCTGTAAAACATTGTTCATCAACGTGAACCAAAAAAAGGCCTAAGTACATAAAGCACTTTGCAACATTAAAGAAAGTCATACATTAAGATACTGATAATTAAATTGTAATATTCAAATTTTTATATTCATTTTAATTCATCTTTTAAACTAAATATCAAAGCGCTGAACAGCTTAGTTATTTCTTTTTATTTACTATCTGAGATCGTTGATACAATTTTCCTAAAATTTATATACACAACAAAGATGGTGTTTCTGCCTCTGGCATTTTATTCTAAAGCATATTCAGTCATTAATGATCCATAAATTAGAAAGCACATGCGCAATTCCGAAAAATTCAGAACATTGCTAATGTAAAATATGCGAGGAAAACTTTTAATATTTTTATGTTTATGTTTATTCCAATCTATGTTAAAGGTAGACAAGTATAAATAGCTGAATGTGCTTTGCGCATATGATCCGTTAGCAGCAAAAAGTTAATTAAAGGATGTGGCTATCATTTGTTATGTGACATGAAGATTGTTTAGCACACTTCAAAAGACTGAAGATGAAGAACCTTTGATCTTTGATCCTAAAATCAAGCAACGTACATGATAGTAACATTTCACTAAAAGCACTTTTTATCTTTTTACTGCTCGGCAACTACATAAAAGTAAGCACCAAGTACACCAAAGAGAAGGATAATGTAAAGGGAAACTGTCTAAACGTCGAAAGGTTTTCGCTTAAGATTTTTAAAATCGAAGTAAATAATTAAATTTTCTTAAGCTTGTTCCACAGCTGTCTATGTAATGCTCCAAAAATTAGAAATGGAAAGTTTTTGAGCCGCTTTTTGATTGTGCAATACCTAAGCCTTTCTTTAGTTGAGTATTTGAAAATTACCACCAATATGTATTCTAAGTTTTGTTACGTTAATTTTTAATCTATACTTCGGAAATGAATTTTTTTTGACAGAATGTATTTAAAAACCAGCATTTTGATAACAAACAATTTTCGTCATACGATTTTCCCGTGCTATTTAACCTAGAGTAAAAGAGTATTATTTAAACGCAAGATTTATTTATTAAAAGCAGTTCCAAAAAAGCGATTTGTATAATTTTAATTGTCTGGAAAATTGATCATACATTTAATTGGTCTCATATAAATTCGAAACAAGTGTTTTCTTATGTAAATACGTAAAAATATAAACTACCTTATTACATCCATTTATGTAACCATTCATTATTCACCCAGATTTATGTATTATAATAAGATAATTCTTTATAATTCAAAATACGATGGGCTTTTGGTATGTTCTAAGTCTGAGTGATATGCAACACTTTCTGGGTGACGTGTGTGTGTGTGATTATGGCAAAGCCTCGAGGGCTATCTGCCTAAGGGGAGGGATGCCTTCGTGGAGGACTTTCTAAGGGAAACTGGCTCGTATACACGTTACACATGGGGAAACCACGAAAACGCCCATGCAGCCAGCCCGTTCGCGGGATTCGAACCTCGGACCGAACTACCAGTGTTCAGCGACTTTACTGCTCGCCCGCTGGTGGGCCTCTTTCTGGGTGACGAAATGTGTTGAAATGACTGCTATTCACCAGCAGGTGTTATGATTTGATTTTTGAGGGACTCTTATATGCTTTTAGTTAGTGATGACTGTTAATATTAAAAATATTAAATATTTTTCAGAGATCGGATTTTTAACAAAAGCGGTAAAATATTAATAAATATTTACGAACGTGTGTTGCAGTTTATACAGCACCTTTCTATGCCACCATGCAAAAGTAGGCTATCATGTTTGTACACGGAAAAGTGTCATTCAAAATCAATTCAATTCTGTCAATGCCAGATAAGCCTGCAGTGGAATAGGACCACTGAGAAATATATGCTAGATCTGACGAATGTATGACGGAAAGTTTCTAATATTGTTGCTGAAACACACATCAGTGCTGGATTATTCATAAAATTAGTGTTAGAAGTTTGGGGATTTCAAAGGTCTTCGCCAGTTGGGTACCCAGATTGTTGAAACCAGAATTGAAGAAATAGCTGGTCGAATATTCTTCAGAACTCATCTGTGACAGGAGATGAAACACAATGACCCAGAACTTAACAAAAGATTATGTCTCGGGAACATGATGGATCTCTTCCTAAAACATATTGCTAAACTTCAGAACACATCTGGCTGGGAGATGATGAACGCCATTTTTGGAATGACGAGTGATCACTGTTAATTAATTTTAGCTATTATAATACAGAATAACATGTGTTTATTACGTTAATATATTGAGTCAAATCGTACGGATCATAATTATCGGGGCAAACTTAGCACAGCAGTATTGCTTTATATGAATTGCTCAAGGATGACTTGCTATGTTTTGCTCAAGGATAAAAAGCTCTGCTTTTGCTGCACAGAGAATTCCACTTTCTTTCCCTATCCATCATATTCACCAGAAAAGCCCCAGTGACTTTCCGTTTCACAAACCGAAGCATCATTTGATTGGTTCACAGGACAACGACAATTATGATTTGAAGGATGTTGTTCAGGAATGGCCAAGAGGCTGAGATAAAACATACTTTCCTGTTACCACGAATCGTAAAGAATCGCTTTGATAAGAGCATAATCTGAAGAAAAACCGCAAAAGTAAATTTAGATTGATATATTCATCTTGTATGAGTAAGACTTAATATTAAAAAATAGGTTTGCAACTTTTTATCGAACACCTCTTACACTTTACAAAATAATGATTTATAATTCAAATAATTTTATTTACGGAAGATATGTATCCAGACTCAATAGCTTTCTTTAAAAATTATATTTATAATTATCTAAATTTAGAAAAAGAAACTTTTGTAACTAATGTAAAACTCAAGGTATAACTAAGAATAAATAACTAAATCAAATGAATTACTATCTGTTATGATAAGATACAACATATCAGACACAATATCAAAGCTAACAAAAGCAGTTCGTCTAAAAGGAAAGGAATTTTTTGGACAAAATTCGTTCTGTATTATATCCTCACCATCACTGCTATAGACTGAACATCCTCACCGTAGATCTGAAACTAATACTTGATAGAAAGGAAATAACGACATGTACAACAAAACTTACAATCATAAAAGTAAATTGCCTAAAATCAGCATACAAAAATATAGCAAATTTTAAAAGCATAAAAACGTATATCAAAACACTGCATTCTTACAGTGACGTATTTTAAGAGGTAATCTATCTCCTAAACATTAAATATATGCAACAATACAGTATGCTTTTGAAACAAGCTCCATTAACCTTATTTGGTCCAATAAAGGAAAAAAAAATCTGTGCCATCATTGAATAAAAGCGCTTATTTTACTAGAGCTTATTATTTTATTTCTTAGTTTCCCAAGTCCTTAGTCCTACTAAAATCTGATTAATACTAAAAACTAAGATTTATCTAGGACAACTCGTGATAAAAAATACCCCATATAGCACAACATTTTTAAATGAACAGAATCACCTCTCTTTTTCTTGCTTATATGGCGTTCAGCTCCTTGTAAATGAGCTGGCTGCATGTTCCTTTTCATTGGTAAACGTGAACGAGCCTCCTTCCCTTATAAAGACCTACATGAAGGTATGTGTTTTATGTTAGATAACTGTCGATTCCGTTCATAACCAAGTAACAAATCAACCAATATGTTTCTCCTATAGAATACACAATTTCAGAAAGCTGTACGTAAATAAATCTTGATATGCAACTACTAACGAAAACAAAAAGTAATTGCTTTTACATTCGGTCACGGCTATCATAACAAGGCATCAAATTCCAACGATCCACTCTGCATTTAGATTGTCATTCGCGCCTAATCTGCAATGTTCTAGTTGGCGTTAACAAAGGTAACGAATTATGAAATCTATTTCAGCAACGGTTCTCACTCAGTAAATAATTAACCCTCTATTCCATTGAATAATGCGACTAAACTTAATTAACTATGCAGAGCATTCCATTAGAATAATAGATGTTGCGATACCATGCATGGGAGGGGGTTTCAGAGAAGCGCTCATCTAATATTTTCTTCATGTCGTAGATTCCTCTTGCTAAATCTGTAGCATACATTTCCCTTAGATTTACTTCGGTATGTCTTTTGAAAGTCAGAAGATAGACTCCACAAAAGCTTGATACAAAAGCTTCGTTCGATTTGGTAAGCACTGGGCTTTAGTTTAGGGCCTCGCATTTAAGGTTTCCGACGAGCAGTTTATCTGTTCCTTTTCTGCTGCTATAGAGTTGCCTCGGTGGTGAATTCTCTGGTTTTGATAAATCCGAAACGGAACTACTCTAGCCGTCGCTTCAGTATTCACATTTCTATTCAGACAGGAGACTCGGATATCTCGTTAGCTACGATAAGAGATGGAATACGAGAGTTAGAGTTGATGGGTGTTCTGAAGTACTGCTATTCAGTTCAAGAAAACCCAGGGTTTCTTGGCTGCATTCTTACTTTCTCTAATGTAGAATTATGTATTAAGTTTTTCGTAAGAAAAATTCTAATTATTTCCATTATGTATTACAACTCGTTATTAGCATTAATTTAATATTCAGTTTCAGCAGAATATTTTAATGAATAGATTTTCCTTTCAAAAAGATATGGCGGCAAAAGAAATAGAATGCTTTAAATTCATAAGCAGAATGATGTTTAAATTTTCTACCGCACAGATAACTTTAAACTCTTGTGTCTACTACATAGATAGAAATACAGACTTCCTATTGTGGGATTTAACATATATACTTATATTTATATGATGGTATCTTATTTATATTACAAAGAAATATTCTGAGTTCATTTTGTATTATTTTTCATTATTGATGTGTAGAGACAATAGGTTTTTTTTTGGAGCAGGAGACATAAAAAAGAGCAATGACCTCGCCAGGAATCGAACCTCGGACCTCTCGAATACTCGCCGAGTTTGCTAACCATATGCTAGAACGCGGGAGAAATACCTTATAGTCTCCCCCTTTTGAAGGGCGACTGTGGATAAGGAGACCCAATCGCCAAATCCTGGTGATGGAGAATAATCATCCATCACTTTTTTCAGTTCGGGCGCCACTGTAAAGTTAATTAGAATTTTTTCGATGTCAGGAACTGACGTAATGAGCAGTGCCTTCACCGGAACTGGAACCTAGGAGCTCTTGAATACGCGCTAAGTGTGCTAACCATTAATGCGCGAAGGCATGCTAGAAGGCGGGAGAAATACCTTATAGATGAAACAAATTATAGATTTTGATTAAAAAATTAAAAGATAAGAAAAAAAGAAAATAAGAGTAAGATCCAGCAATTATTTTTGTTTTGTCCTTACAAATGCCACAGAAATACTACCACAGTTTATGTAGAGTCTTAAACAGAGATATAATAATTCAGTGCAACTAGTGCTCAGATAAATACGTGTTTTAGATGTTTACAACGAAACGCTATAAAAAAACTGGCGGTCTTCATAATAAATTTGCTCAGACTTATCTCTCAAAATAGCTAAGAAACATTACTCATGCTCACTGAACACTGCCAAAAAAAAATTGAATGATATTTAAGGATTCGGAAGTAAAATTATGGCAAGAATATGTGAAAATAAATAATCATATATTAAAATTTGTCCTTTTTTCGACATGTGGAAAACTTTATTTTCTGTGCATTCACTGTATTTTTCCAGTAAGGTAATTTGCAATTATTTAGCATATATCAGAATTTTTATGTAAGAAATGTGTATAAACTGAATCAAAACTATATGCATTATTTTAACGTAATATTAATAAAACTTTTAAATTCCTATGAAAGAACGCTCGGTAGCTTTTGTTCGAACGTAGGGAAATGGGCTGTCTACATGGTTAGTTTTCGCGTTTTTCTTTATATGTTGCATGAATACAATTGAATTTCCTTTAGAACATCCTCAACGAAGGCATCCCATCTCTTAGGCAGATAGCATCTCTTTCGTTTTTTTTTTTTTTTTATTTATTTATTTATTTCATGAATGCAGTTTGCTGTTAAGATCATTTTCATCAATTTTAAATATTTAGTCAATTAAACCGCGTTTCATAAACATGAACGAATAGAATACTCTCTGTGTAGGCTTTCGTAGACGACCTGTTTTATTTCCGAAGTAACTGCCTTTCCCCCTCCTGGTGTAATATTAATAGCCCACTGAGTATCAAATTTTTTCCTAGATAAAAATAAATTTTTATTCCTGAAATAATGGTTTCCGTTTCTTTCGTTATGAATAAACATTATTCTGTAAGTTTTGGAAGATGTTATCTCATGAAAAAACGTTTAGTACTTTTCCACTTCATCCTTTTTCGCTGCAAATATCGTAATACGTTAAAAGTATCAAAGGTTCGAAAAAACTAAAATAACGTAACACGCAAATTTTTAATAGAAAACTGACGCTATATGTAATATTAACACACAGAACATTGAGCTGAAATTTTTGACTACAAGCTACTGGCAGTTTCTAAAATGTTACATGTTTTATAATAGTAGTGATAATAATCTGGAGATGTCTTTTAAAGCAAAAATATTAATATTTTTTCGGGAAATATAAAAGCATACATTTGGGAAAAGAGAGTACTATTTCTATTTCCAAAAAAATGAAAATTATTTCTTTGCCAAAGTCTTGAATTCACATGAGCTCAGTAGAACTTCTAAATGGTGGGCAAATAAAATTATTTTATGTAACAGAAAGAAATGCACAGATGAATGAGCAATAGGAAATGATAAATTACTATTATCCGAGGGTGAACTGAATGCTGTTGCTTTTTTATTAGTAAGGGACCGAAAGAGAGAAAAGCTGATTAAATGCATTTGCTAAGACTGCTTAGTAAATGTTAGAACTTGTAGAGTTCCCCACTTTATAGATGCTAAGTTACTGTTAAGCGTGAAGAATCTTAAGAACTGATAAGCGAATAATCGCTTGAGTTCGTGTGACAAGAAACAACAAGATGGAAAGGCAAATAACCATTTATATTCAGATAAGATTTAACGGAACTCTATCTTGGAGTGTACAATAAAAGCCGACACTTGGGCTTGAACTTAAGAGGCTAAGAAGTAAACTAAAACTAATCTAAACTAAAGAGATATAGCCGAAGCTATCAAGATTTTAACCGAGTTGGCCCCTTAACGCTAATTGACAGCGAAGCTATCAAGGGCCTAAGTACGGCCGAGCGTAATAATAGCTTACGAGAGAGTAGCTTAAAAAGGCGGACGCGTGCAGACAGAATACCTGGTAACTCTCTCGTTAAGACCGAAGAACTTCGCGCTTTAAATACCGCTCCTCCTCATTATGTATTCAGACGTGATTCTAAAACTACGTTCTGGCCGGAAGTAGTAAGTTGAAATTAAGAATTTGACAGGAAAGAAATTTAACTCAAAATTTAACTGTTAATAAAATTAACAGAATTCTTACAAACTAATGGAAAACAATTAAAAAAAAAACAAAAAGCGTAGAAAATAAACCCGTAAAGGGCCAACAAAACATTTAAAAGGAAACTGTGCTGTATTCAGCTTTACATAATCATGGATTCTGTGTTAGGTTTACATAGCCAGAGAACCCACTGCAGCCAGCCCGTTCTATTGCCAGAAAAAAAATAATTAGCGAGCTATTTGTGTTTAGCGGTTTTAACTGCTAAACAGGAAGTAAGTTAGCTTATTTGCATATTACAAATCACGCGAAAATTATCTGCCTACTGGAAGGAAGGCTTCCATGGAGGACTTTCGAAAGAAAACTGGTTCATATTCAGGTTCCACATACGAAGTAGATCAGCTTATTCGAATACTGCAAATTTCACACAGAATGTTCTAAGACGAACTGGCTGGTATTCTCTTTACACATCGGGAAATCAGGAAAAAGAGCTGTGCAGCCCGTTCTTTGGAAAAGAACCGAAGTCGAATTCCCTGTATTCGGCGGAATTAACCACTCTGCCATTAATGGGGCAAAAGACACAAAAAAAATTAAAAAAATATGCGTATAATTATAGTTTGTGAGAAATTTGGATGTTTGGATGTTTCGAATTAATTTATTATTATTATTATTTAGGGATCAGTTATTAAAACTTTATCGCTGAATCTTAGTTGCTGTTATCGTGCGAGTCTATTTCTTTCTATGTTTTTCTCTTCTCTTTTTTTTTTTTTTTTTTTTTTCTTTTCAAATTCGACACTAATTCGATTTCAGCGCTTTAGAAAGATAAATATCCTACAACTCAACTCTCCTTTCAGAGGCTAAGCCTTACGTGCTGGCTGTAGAAATGATATAATGATATTCATCGGAGTATATCGTATCTCGAAATGATGTACGTGGTTAGGATTCAGTTTTATTGATAACTGATTAGTTATCATCATTATTTTACACTCAATTTAACAACAGTTTAACATTTAGGATTCAGTTTTATTGAAAGCTGATTAGTTATCATCGTTATTTTACACTCAATTGAACTACAGTTTAATCACTTAATTAAAAAGTTAAACTGTAGTTAAATTGAGTACGAATACTGCAAATTTAGTAGTAGCTAAATTAGCTTTATTGTTCCTTGCTTTCTCATTTACAAACAATAAAAACAATTTAAAACTAACTATTATTGTTCTTTACTTTCAAATCTTAAAATAGCAGAGAGGCTTATAACTTTTATTAACCGAAAGTTAATATCCACAAATTACTTTTTCCCTTTTCATTTATCGGGTGGAAATGGCTTAGATTAAATAATTTTCATGCTTTTCTTCAGGCTAGTTTTTCATATTGCGAAGTCTATTATCCTGAAAGAAATTTCATAAAGTGAAACGGCGTAACTGAAACCTCCTTTATAGAGCAGCCGAATAAAAATTTAAATTTCATATATATTTACAGAAACATGTCATGTGACCAACGTTGTTGCTACAATAAAGCATGTCTTATTTCATTCATTCCTAAACGTGGAACCATGAGCCTACGCGCAGGTAATTGATAAAAACATATTTAGTCGCTGAAGCAAGTAGTTAAATCGTAAACAGTGACACTACTTTAGCATTTAATTACAAACTTTTAAAATATTCAGCAGATTATTCGCTGCCAACAAGTATTCGAATGGATAGAATTACGGATTAGTTTGGTTTTTTAATTCTGTGTTAAAGTTTGTAAGAATAAAGTTAGCTATATTATAGATTTCATGCGTTTTTCTATATGCTGCACAAAAGGAGGACTAAGCTTTTGTTATTCAACAAGGTAATCTCACGAATTATAATCCATGTTTTTTTTTTTTTTTTTTTTTTGAAATGAAAAGCCACATTTAATAATTAAATATGACAAAAATTGTGCATTTGCTTTTATACTTAAGTGAATTTTTAAATGTAATTTTTTATATGTTTTCATCATTCAACGATGCTTTTTTCGTCTAAATTATTTTAAAAGCTGGGATTGGAATGAGAAGAAGAAAAGACTGAAGCACTAAAACGAATCTTATGCGTAGTTTCTAATTTTAATAAGGATGAATATAAATCTAAATACAGAAAGGCACCTTTACCTCTCAGTCAAGAAAGTAATCGGCGTATCTCCTCTTTTCCTCAGGCTGAATTAGAAGGCAAAGGAAACTCTCTAAAATTTCAATATCATAAATCTTCTATTCCTTGCACTTCGACTCTTTGCTGAGACTGCAAAGTGAAATGGATGATTGCAGCGGTTTTCTACAATTTTCAGAAGCACAATTGCTGTTAACATGGCATTACCTTTCTGCAAATTTAGATGAACAAGAAAAGAGGCTATGTCATACATGTAGCATGTTGATGAATTCGTTTAATAATTTATAACATTTATTATTCTGCGTAGTTCCAAACTCCTATAGTGTTACAGTTTAACTAATAACATCAGTCTCACTCATAAATTATCACAGAAATGCATAAGATGTTTGACAGTTAATAGTTATGCATAATAATCGACCGTTAGTTAATGAAGCTATTTATTTGAAATTAATACACATACTAATAAATGAATGTAAAATTTTAGTTAAGTTATACTTAACGATTTCTTAAAATAATTTGTTTAAAATTTTATAACTCTACAATAACAGATCGCTGCAGAAAAACTCACTTGAGACATCTCGGCAATGTATCTCTTCTTTAACCGCTTAAGGCTAGTACAGCACTGGTCAGCTTCGTCAACCTTTGTTATATTGTATAACAGGGTAATGTATTTTAAATCACTTACATGGTCAATCAGATTGTAAAGGCAACTGTTACTTTAGAAAGTTTAACTTTAGTGTTCAAGTTCAGCATCTGGTATAGCATTTGATGACACCGGTGAAATGCAGGTCAAGAATTTTCCAAGAACAAGCAATGCTAATCAAAAGCAACTGCAATACTTCTCTCTTCTAAAATCTTCGGGATTCGGAAAATGTGGCAAACCACGCTGAACTTTGGTCGGATATGTGATTAGAAAGTAGTTAATGTAAAGGTTGTAGGGCTATTATTTAAATTAACATAAATATATGATTTGTAAAAATATCATTAATTTATGTTATATTACTAAAGGTTGTAGGCATATGTGATTAGAAAGTAGTTAATGTAAAGATTGTAGGGTTATAATAATAATAATAATAATAATAATAACTTATTTAAATTAGAAAGTTATTATTATAAGGTATTTCTCCTGCCTTCGTGGTGTAGTGGTCAGCACACTGAGCCGGTATTTCAGAGGTCTGCGGTTCGATTTCCGGCGAAGGCGTTGCTAATTTTTTTGTCTTACCTGCTTCCGAAATAACCCTAATGTCTCTACATTATGATTTGAATCTTAACTACATTTTCTCATTTCCGTTTTCTCACCAGAAAGTAAATGAATTAGCTAGTAATAAAACTAAGGTTTTCGGAACATGATTTTGGCTACAAGTGCATGCTATGTATGTTTAGTTCCTGCCAGCTCTGATAGTTATTATTATTCGACTTTGCGTTATATTCGCTGTCGACAATTTGATTTTGACACTCGGATTATAAATACTGAGCCAGCTTAGAGTAAGTTTTAAACTGTATAGTCAGAACAGTAGCTATTGTTTTCAGCGCCCGGGGGCAGCTGAAGATTTTGCGCCCTCTTCTATGTACCAAGAATAGGAAATATTTCATTCTAAAATGTAATAATATCAAACTGGCGTCCCCTAGATACTGCGCCCGGGGACAGATGTCCCCTCTTGCCCCACCCTAGCTACGCCCCTGTGAATAGTCCTTGTCTACTGTTCCACGTTTAAACTGAATTTGACCGTTCCTATTTAGTTGCATCACATCGAGTTGTAGCTAATATTATTAGCAGAAAAAAGTGCATTTATGCTCTAGATTGTATTTGAAAAAAAAACGTTATTCGACCTTTTCATAACTTGTAGTTACTTCAGACCTAGCGATAAGCCGCTTCACGGCTGATGGGGTTCTTAGTTCCAGATAAAATAAAATCCAATAAGATAGATAGCTGTTGGCCCACCAGCGGCCGAGCGGTAACGTCGCTGAACACTGGTAGTTCGGTCCGAGGTTCGAATCCCGCGAACGGGCTGGCTGCATGGGTGTTTTCGTGGTTTTCCCCATGTGTAACGTGTATACGAGCCAGTTTCCCTTAAAAAGTCCTCCACGAAGGCATCCCTCCCTTAAGGCAGATAGCCCTCGAGTGCTTTGCCGTAACCTAATACACACACACACAGATAGCTGTTGTGAAATCTAAATTTATAAACGAAATCAAAAATTTAGAGCAAGAATTAGTCTTGTCTTTATAATTTTCCAAAATATAGCAAGTAAAACAGCATTTTCTCTTGACTTAGTAATTCTGTTAATGGTACAGGTAGAACAAATGACTGAAAAAGTTGAAAGAAAAGCCACTTTATAATATTTTTAAGGCTGTGATGCAATTCAAAAACTTTCTAACTCATTTACTAAAGTGGTCTAAATAACATTTGCAATCTTAATACTTTAGATTAGAAACCCTTGGGCCTAAACAATGGTTTACGAAGAACACGTTAATAAAATTTATCACAAAGAAAAATGGAGAATAAGGCTTCTTATATAAATGTATGCAAACAATTGTGTGATTTTATCTTTGCAAACATGCACAATCTACTTCAGAGAATTACTCTTATGTTTACTCCTTAGAATCAACTCTTATGTTTGTTATTTGACTGGAGTTGTTTTGAATATCTCTAATATAACAAAAGTATTCTTTAGTGTGTGAGTAAAACGTTTTGCAAATACAGTTTGTTAAAGTTGCGTTATTAATGTTAAAATTATTTATCTGCCATTTAAACAGAGTTTAAGTATTTTGAATGCGAACAAAAGAACTCGACTTAGCATACTCATTCTTTAGTTTTATACTTACAGTTCCCCACTAGCACTTTCGATTTTCACTTCCTCGCTTTCAAGAACAAGGTTCAAGAAGTCTCTTAGACACGATTAAAACACTATTAGGATCATTCGTGATTCTTCCATGAAGCCTATCTTCCGAAGAGAAAAATTTTCGAAATTTTCTCGCCGAAAATGAATTTTTGTGAAACATGAATAAAGATGCAAATGTCAGCTGTACTCTGCCACAATGTAACCACAACTGACAAAGGACAAGCTGCTCTTCATTGCTGTGGTTGTAGACTAAGGTGCACTGTGAATCACATGAAAGCCTTTTCCTAAGTTTTGCTTCTCTTCTTTTCTTTCGCTCCAGAAGGAATTTATTTAGGAAAAATGAATTTCTAAAACTCCGGTCCCGGTTTCGTGTCTGAAAATCGGAGAGCACGTGCGAAACAATCTCCTACCGTTCTTTGTGTTCTCCACAATGCGGTTCAGTGGAGCGCACTTTTCATGCTAATCAGTCAATATTCAAGCGATCCGTCGCACAAAGGCGAAACCGTAACAAGATCTGGTGGCTAGGGTTTTACTCTCCCATAAATATCGACGACTCCTTCCCCCGCTTGTTTCCGCCTCCATGCTCTTAATCTTGTTTATCTTTACTTGTTTAAATCACGTGAAATTGAGGTCGCGGGAATATCAACTAACTGCCATACATCAGATATTAAAGGAGAAGTGGAGTCTGTTACAAGCCTATGCAATTTTAAATATTTAGTTTAATGCCTGTTTATCGAATATCTGACACCTGTTACAATTTTTATCCTTCCCAGACTTCATATACTTTCATAAAATGAAAATTCTCAAGCATTTGTTATCATTTTTAGATGTCACTGAGCTAAATTTAAGCAAGGACAGCCTTTTGCAGAAGAGAGCATTAGCTAATGTAATCGGTATCGTGAACGGAGCTATTGTGTATTTGCACATATAGTAACCTTACTTCCGAATTTTTACTGTATATGGTTTGCAGGTCTGCAGTTTGAATACCAGGCTTATTGTATAAATCGTTTTAATTTTTTTTTAAAGTTTTATATTTATTCAGCAGTAATCGCGGGTTTTATTTTGGACTGATAGACCTTAAAATTTTAATAATTCAGTATATTCAGGGAAATAAGCAAAAAGTAGTGAAAGTGCACTTAACTTTTGTTTAAAATCCCACTTCTTTCATTTATTCCTGTTAGGGGTAGACATAAATGGGGAGGTTACAGTTAATTCAACGATGATAACAGCTTAATATTTTAAGAAAAAATATTAATATAACTCGTTTTATAACTGCTTTTATTTTCGAAACATATATTTTGTAAAATATGAAAATACGTAATTTTTAATTATTTTGTTTAATTTGTCCTCTAGTTTTAAACGGCCTATAAGCCATTCGTTTAAACATAAATTAATTTTCTGTTAATTGCAACATTTAACGATTTAGGCTAAAGTTAAATTATACATATTTTTAAACGCGAAGCTTGAATTATTATTTTGTCCCTATAAAAAAAATTTCTCAGAATTATGGAATGATGTTTCATGTGTAACTATGATTATCATGCATGCTCTAAATGTGTTTAATAGCGGATAAAACTTGTCAGGAAAACCTGAAGTGCAAAACAAATAGGATTCGCTTTCAAAACCTTCTGGGATAATTATTTAAAACGCTTCGTAAAAGGAAGCATAAGGAATTTTTTTTCCTTTTTCTCTGAGTGCCTTCGTGGTACGAGAATCTAGCTGACAGAAGATCAGGAGTTCGTATCCCGGCGAAGGAATCGCTTATTTTTCGTGATTCTTGCTTTGAAAATCTTTTCAAATTCTGCCCGAAATAAAATGTGGTAGACGATGCTTCGTCGCCACCGGCATTTAGCGGCTTAATATCTTACCACATTAGTTGCAGTTTAAATGGAGGAGAATATAAGGAATTTTCTTCTGCATGTCTTCGTAGTGTATTTGGTAACACGTCTGTCTAGCAATCAGAAGATCTAGCAGCACTCGGAAGTGGAAATCCGATGCAGATCCCGATGTCAACTCTTTTTTCTGGTATTTATGTTTTGGAAAAGACCTAATAGACTCTACAAAGTTGCAATTTATGGTCTACATTATTTTAAAAATTACTCTCGGGTGTTTGCGAAAAAGTTCATTAGAAATGACTGAGCTATTTAAAGAATATGAAAATTTCTTTTAAGAATAAGTAAGGAATAAGAAAGTTTCTTTTCAAAATTAAATAAAGAATAATTATAAACTCTTCGATGCTTCAAATTAGCCTACGACTGATAAACTTAGATTAAATAAAAAATGGCGGTTG